ATTGCCACTCTGGGATACCGAGGAGGGCTCCTGATTGTCTGGGATAGACTCAAAGCCAACTTCATTAGGAACAGAAAGCTCAGGAGGTGAACGAGAGATTGAAGGGAGAGACAAGCAAAACAAAATTACACAGCCAAGAACCAAAACTTGGCCACTCGAGCACTCAAATCAACACAACTGACCACGAGGATAACCACGCGAATGTCAAGGAGTGGCCTCCGCCTTATCATCAACTGACTTTAAACGCAAGCCTTTAAAGACTATTAATAATAATAACAATAATGAAAAAATAATAATAATGATAATAATAATAATAAATAATAATAATAATGATAATATTTGAAATAATATTCCTTTCTCACTCTTGTAATAACAACAACAATAATAATAACAATAATGATAATAATAATAATAATAATAAGAATAATATATAATAAATAAGAGTATTAAAATAAATAAAAATAATAATAATAATAATAATAATAATAACAATAATAATAAATAATAACAATAATAATAACAAACAAATAAAAAAATAAGAAGAATCATAATAATAATAATAATAAATAATAATAATAATAATAATATTAATATTCCTTTCTCACTCTCATAATAATAATAACAATAACAATAATAATAATAATAATTTTTTTTCTTTAATTTTTAAAGCAGGTTAATTTAAGGAAAGGAAAGAAAGATAGAGAGAACTAGAAAGATGGAGAAAATTAGTAATGAAATAAAGTTATTAATAACAGTAAAAATAATAATAATTCATAATAAAATTTGTGATCATAGGCAAAAATAAATTTATAAATAAGGTTAGTCTATAGTGGGGGACAAGCCTGACTCAAACATAATAAGATCCACAGGGGCTGATTGGGTAATATTTTTCCGAGAGAAACGAGATCGGTGACCACGGAGGCACTGCAAAGATGAGCGAAGGAGATCAAAGGACAGTAATAATAATAATAATAAGAATAATAATAATAAAATAATATTAATAATTTCTCACTCTCATTATAATAATAACAATAATAATAATAATAATAATAATAGTAATAAAATAATAATAATAATAATGATAATAATATTCCTTTCTCTTTCTCATAATAATAATAACAATAATAATAATAATAATAATAATGAAGAATCAAACATATAAAACATATAACTGCTATAGCAGTTGTATAAACATTAACACACGTAGTGTATAACAGTAAAGGAAACTGAGCTACACAATTAAGGTAAGTCATTCTAATAATAAGAACACAATACAAATGAACATCTTTTAAATACAATTAGACATAACTAACACATTAAGCAACACAACTGAATAACAGTAAAGGACACTAAGCTGCACTATTGAGGTAAGTTATTCTAATAATAAGAACACAATACATATTAACATCTTTTAAATACAATTAGATACTACTAACACATCAAGCAATACAACTGAATAACAGTAAAGGACACTATGCTACACCATTAAGAATAATAAGAACACAATACAGATTAACATCTATTAAATACATTTAGATACTACTAACACATAAAGCAATACAACTAAATAACAGTAAAGGACACTATGCTACACTACTAAGGTAAGTTTTACTAATAATAAGAACACAATACAGATTAACATCTTTTAAATACATTTAGATACTACTAACACATAAAGCAATACAACTAAATAACAGTAAAGGACACTATGCTACACTACTAAGGTAAGTTTTACTAATAATAAGAACACAATACAGATTAATATCTTTTAAATACAATTAGATACTACTAACACATCAAGCAATACAACTGAACGTCAGTAAAGGACACTATGCTACACTATTAAGGTAAGTTTTACTAATAATAAGAACACAATACAGATTAACATCTTTTAAATACAATTAGATACTACTAACACATCAAGCAATACAACTAAATAACAGTAAAGGACACTATACTACACTATTAAAGTAAGTTATACTAATAATAAGAACACAATACACATTAACATCTTTTAAATACAATTAGATACAACTAACACATCAAGCAATACAACTGAATAACAGTAAAGGACACTATGCTACACTACTAAGATAGGGTAGACACAAACTCTTACCACAACAAGTGATGTACTGTGCTACAAGGAATCGAGACAAAATATCTAACGTATATTCTCAAATCTTTTATGATGTTGAGCGATCATTCATAACATTCTTTACCTGCAAATATCTTGACAATAATTATCATGATAAAAATAATCTTTGCAACATGAATTTAAGAAACTGTTTTAAATGTTTTGTCTTTGCTTTTCTAGGTCTGTGGCACTATGTCCTAACAAGTAGAAATAGATGGAAAACATACAGTCTGTTTTGTAAGCACTCCATAGTCTACCTTTGTTCTCAGAGGCTAAGAGGGAACGCACACCATAACTGGAATGGTAACTGGCTCTTCCTTAGTTGGCTTGATGTCTAGAGGAAAGAGAGAACGAATAACACACTACTGACAACCTAAATCTCGAGCACTCAATATGCTATGCACATTTTTATCGAGCACCTACAAAATAGAACGCTCCAGCCACTCAAACAATCACACTTACTGTAAAGCTTACCTTTGTCTTTATCCTAAACAATGATGGAACAAGAGTTTTAAGTAGCAACACCATCAAGCAACTATTTCTCCATTTTAAAATTGTATGGTCATGTGATCAGTCATGTGATGTCATTTGTAATACAATTTCTCCACTTCTTGCTTGGAAGAACGATATACAAAGGCTCATACCTCGAGATAGGTAAGCCGCATTGACGCGCAACAAGCACCAATTGATAGGGACTGGAAAGAGCAATTTTTTGATATGATAAAATATTTTTTCAAATTTTTTTGTCTTAAGGTCAATTTTCTCAGACCACGTCACATATAATAGGTGCTTCTTTGCTTGACAGAGCACTTTCTTGTGACTACTTCTTGTCGTCCTATTGAATCATGCAACATGAGAATAAGGTGGGTGAATTATATAAAATGCATGTCGCTACATTTACGACTTACCTGACTTGTTTTATCATCAATCATGGCTTGTAGTCGTTCTGTAAGTGTATCTAAGAAAGCATGACTCCTGAAGAAACTGTTAGAAAAGAGAAAAGTCGAGCAATGCTTAGAGCATTGTTCATGATAACAAAAACGGTAGTGCCCAGACCCAATGGACGATGAACGGAACAACTACAATAAAAATTAAAAGGGCACTACAGTTTAATCGTTGTCAACGTAAACCGAACGCGAAGTTTTTATTGTGTTCTACTGTAGTTCTCTGAAAATTAGGACCGCATGTTTCATGTAATATGTCGTGTTTCATGTCTTGGTTCATGTTACATGTCTGATTCATGTTTTATGTATGTTTCATGATTCATCATGTTTCATGTTTCAAATGCATGTTTCAGGAACTCATTTGATAATTATAATCAATAATGATATTATTATAATTATTTCAAAGTCTACAATCATTATACACTTATTGCTATCACTATAACACTGCACATAAAGTCATCCTTATGGAGGGCTCAAGCTATGATAGAAGGTATATCTCTCAAGGCTTCGTCCAATGTCTAGACATCCCTGTTGTTCTTCTCAGTTCAATAAGTTCTTCTTAGTTTCTATTACTATACCAGAAAGAGATATTTTATGCTTTAGGCTCTAAAAAAATGAGCAGTGTACAAGAATTTACTTACTAATTAAGCTGCCAGGTAATGATTTAAGATGAATGAGTAGTTAGTATCAGGATTCTAGCACCTTGAGCCAAGCCAGTGAGCCATCAAGCAGTATAAGGCTATAAGCAATAATAGCATGATGGCTTAGTCTAGTCCAATCTCAGATACCTATCTATTATCTAAAGTCCAATAATAGAAAAGCGTCCATCTGTAAAATGCATGTACATGATAAATGAATGGCATAATTATTTTGTTTTGTTATGTTTCCTACTTTTACATATTTTTGTACTAACTTGTACTTTTCTAATGAAGATTGATTCATGCTTCATGGTGTTTTTGGGAATATTACATCCTTTTTCATGTCAGTGTTTACAAATTCATGTTTAACTCTTTGGCGGCTGCAGAAGTCCAACTCAGCCTAGGCATTTCTAATTAAAGGGGTGTGGTAAAAGGGTTAAATAGCATTGTTTCTACTTCTGGTAACCTAGGCAATGACCCCCAATGCCTTGGCCTGCAGCCGCCTATGGTTTAACTACTAAAACATGCATGTTTTGCACTGAAACTGTACAAAAAAGGATATGTACATGTACATAAAAAAATTTAACAGGGTAGATTTGTAAAATACATCAAAGATAAACTGTTGCTAGTATTGGCTACTTGACTTCCTACCATATACTCTATGTACATTAAGTGTCTGTATTTACAGTTACATGTATATAATACAGTTACAGTCTGTAGTAGCTATGTAGTGTAGAGTGTATCCTAATCCTATCTTCCTTTCTTTCCCTGTATGTACTATAGCAGTATAGTGTTTGCTTCATTGCATACACAAGCACATGCAAGTAATAGTAGGATAATAACTTGCAGTTAGACTTTTTTGTGTGATTGTTTTGAATTACGAGTGTTACTGATTATATTGGGAAATGTATACATGGTGAATTCCTCTTGTATTTAGTCACCATCTTGTATTGCTTTCCATTTCCATCTCTTAAATATATCTTTTTTCCTTTTTATCCTCTTTATTCTCTCTTTCCTTCTCTATCTATTCTCCTCTCTCTCTCTCTCTTCTCTCTCTCTCTCTCTCTCTCTCCTCTCTCAGGTCAGTTATATATGGAGATATATTGTGAGAGTGAGAGACCTCCTTAATCCAAAGTCTTCCAGTAGTCTTCACCATCAAAAGCTAGGACCTTACGTTGAGAACCTTGCTAAACTAGCAGTAACGTCTTTTGTTAACATAAATGGACTAATGGACGAAGGAAACAAAGCAAGGTCTGTGATTAATGCTAACTATATTTAATATTATTATTGTTATTACTATCATCTTGCAATATGCTATAATCCATTATTATTATTGGCCTCACCAGCAATTAGCGTGGGCGAGGACAATGTAGTTAAGTATATTGTCTGTCATTCATTAATTCATCCATTAAGTCCACTGCAACTCTCACTTTGAGACTCTGTGATTTTAAAAGGGGCTCTCCTACAGTCACCAGAACTTCTGCATGAGCTAGAAAAAGTTACATGTACTTTCTATTACATTTTACATGTACTTTATATTTATTAGTTTTAATTTATTTTTTGTCTGTTATACATTTATTTTTCCAGAACTGTTGCAGCTACTAACATGAATGAGACCAGCAGTAGATCACACGCTGTCTTTACTATCATACTAACACAAAGGAAGAAAGACTCTCTGACTGGACTGGTAGCAGAAAAGGTATGCGGGAGCTATTATTATCCAATTATGTGTATAGAATACAATTATTGAATTTCCCTCTGCACAGTAAGTGATAGGCCAAGTTTTATAAATATATTAATTTTGCTACTGGTATTACTTCCAAGATGTCAAACTAAAATTATTTGATTATTTATATTAACCAATGTGTTTTTTCTTAATGATAAAGTTTAGCAAGATTAGTTTAGTTGATCTGGCTGGTAGTGAGAGAGCTAAAGACACTGAAGCTGAAGGGAAAAGACTTCAGGTAATTTGTAATGGACACTATATGCACTTGAACACTAGCACTCAATCCCTTTGTGTATAAATCATTGCAAAATATTTAGATTTTTAATTTTTTATGTGCACGTAACTCAAGAAATTCAAGTCAGAATTGGCTCAAATATTCTACCCAGTATAAGAACATCAATATCTATCAGAAAATGTAATAAAAATTTGGGGTGATGTTATAGTCATTTTTCTGCATAAACCATCGACTATTATTATTGTACAGGGTAATTTTCAGATTTTAGCACATTTTTTATAATGGCCATAACTCAAGAAATTTAAGTCGGTATTGGCTCAAACTTTCTACACAGCATAAGGACATCAATATGTAATAAAAATTGGGGTGATTTTGGAGCCATTTTTTGGAAAAAAGCATGGGCTATATAGCCTTGCGTATGTACACATGTAATTACTTTCATGGTAGGAAGGAATTAACATAAACAAGTCGCTGAAAACGCTACTTATAGTCATTCATGCTCTTGCATCAGCCAAGAAGAAAGGAGACTTTGTACCTTATAGAGACTCAGTACTTACCTGGCTACTCAAAGAAAACCTTGGTATGATAATGTAGTATATGGCATAAAGTGGGATAAGGAGAGAAGGGAGAGAGGAGAGAGATAAAGGTATACATGTGTATTATACACCTTTAATTGTCTTTTTTAGGTGGTAATTTCAGGACAGCCATGATAGCTGCCATCAGTCCAGCACAGATAAACAATGAGGAAACACTCAGTACTGTAAGGTAGTGTATCAGTACATTAAGACGCACTGTCTCATTCTCCTTCTTATATTCATGTTTATAGGCAAAAAAAATATATTCTCCATGCACTGGTGATTCTCAAAACTGTCAAGGATTGTCATGGATCATTATAGTTTCTGCAGTATAAACCTGTTTTGTGACACAGTCATCAGAAAGCTGCCATTTTGCATCACGTGATACTAATGGAATGCAATTGAACTTGCAATTATTTATCAAAGGTCAACCGTGTCATACCTCCTCTGGGCAAGGGCAATCACCCGGTTAGCGCAATATTCCTGGACCGATGTCCGGAGTTAGGTGTAACTGTTCCTGGAAACTGTCCTTAGGGATAGACACTATGAATAATAAGTTGTTTAGCTTAATTAATGATTAATGAATAATGGGGAGGGATGTCAAGGAGCTATGGAGGTTCACTCAGGAGGCTGAAAGCCTGAAACATCAAGAAAGGCAGCTCAGTGGATCATGGTTTTTCAAATCACGAAGTGGATGGAGTACTGGTTAGTATCTAGTAGGCTTACATGTATATAATTATTATTCAGTTGTCAATTACTGAATATTATATATAATCCATTACTATTAGTCGAGCTATTAGTACTTATGGTTGCTGTACAAGTTGCAGCCAGTCATTAACTGTTCATTTGATATTGTTCCTTAGTCCTTGTCCATGCATATTATGTTTTCACAGTTGAAATAATAATAATAATAATAATAATAATAATAATTATTATTATTATTATTATTATTATTATTGCAGTAAAGCATTTTACTGTTACTATTACAATAAGCCATTGTTATTAATAAATAATAATGTTGTAATTTAAGTGGTTTTAAGGTGTCTGTGCATTAGATTTTTTTGCTGGCATGAAGTTTT